TGGTTTCTATATATCATAAGATTTCAGATGATGCTAGGTGATGATCAGATGCTGATAAAGATGATGACAAGGATGATAACCATCATCGTAACATCCTTGGCGTCACGAACGGCTGTGATGATAACTATCACCGTAGCATCCTCTGCGTCACCAATGCTGCCTGATAAGAGATGACGACGACCATGATGATAATGGCACGCGCGGGCGTGATGATCGTTATCATCCGCGCCATGACAACTATCATCGCAACATCCTCTGTGTCTCTACTTGTTCCTTGAGAACTATCATCATCGCATCCTTTGCATTGCCAAGGATGTCTAACGTCTCTTGTGGTTTGTATATATCATAAGATTTTAGATGATGCTAGGTGATCATCATCATCTGTTATTCGGCAGCGTCGCTGATGCAAAAGATGTCACGATGAGAGTTATCATCACAGCCGTTAATGATGCCAAGGATGCTACGATGGTGGTTATCATCCTTGTCATCATCCTTATCATCATCTGATCATCACCTAGCATCATCTAATATCTTGTTGTGCATCTTGTTACACATAGAAACCAAAAGGGACGTTAGACATCCTTGGCAATGCAAAGGATGCGATGATGATAGTTCTCAAGGCACAAGTAGAGATGCAGAGGATGTTGTGATGATAGTTGTCACGACGCGGATGATAACCATCACCACGACCGTGCCATTATCATCATGGCCGTCGTCATCTCTTATCAGGCAGCATTGGTGATGCAGAGGATGCTGCGACGATCGTTCTCATGACAGTCATCCGTTGCCCAATTGTTCAGCGGCATCCTTGTGTCTTTTTTCTGGCGGGCTGTTGTCAGGGAAAGCACCTCAAATTGAAAAAAATAATTCGAGGTGTGGGAGACTTTGTTTTGGGCTGCATCATCGTCATCATCATCATCCTTGTCATCATCATCATCATGGTCATCATCATCTCTTTCTTGTTCTCTTCAAGCCAGCCGATTCGTGCGCCGACAGCTACCCACGAGGGGGTCGGCGGCACAGGGCAGCAGCCCTTAAATCCGGCTACGCCTCCTGGGGTAGCATGTCGCCGCTAGGCAATCAGCCTGCTAGCTTTAGCTATAGGGGCGTGATGCGCTGCCTAAATCCGGCACCTCTGCATCACCAGCTCGGGCTTGCGGTTTGGCTTGCCTGTGGGAAACCCTCGCAAAACATCGCGTATATGCAGGGTTTAGCATCATCAGGGTCTGAGGTTGGGCCTGGGTGATGCTTCAGCGGGGCTTGGTCTGCGTCATCAAGACTTCCTTCCAAAAAGCCTCTCGACCCATGAAGCACTGTTTTTTGCAAGGTGTCGGAGGGATATAAGCGAGGCTCATTTTCGCGCCTCGCTCTACAAAACGCTGTAAATACCGTGAAAAACTGCTCTGCTGAGCGGTAGGCTGTTGTTCTGTCCGTTTTGCTTTTGCTGTGGCTGGCTCGCGTGCTGCGAAACCCTTGCTTTTTTCCGGTTGGTTTTCGGGCCATCTGGCGCGCGCGCGCGACCCCCAGCCACAAAACGCTGCTATTTACGGTGTTTTGTTGCATTTGTGTTTCCGGTCTGGCTTGCGGGCTGCTCTTTTTGGGCTGCTCTTTCTGGGGCCTCTGGCGCGCGCGCGCGCGCGACCCCATGTCAGCCTTCTGGGTTGGAGCCCGGGTGGGGCCCAGAAAGCTGGCATCCCCAGCATCATCTGGGGTTGGGGTGGGCAACATGCATAACCTAACCAGCCATATGATAGCACAGGATACGTTTCTCATACAAAAAACATAACATGACATGATATAACTTCAAAAAGGCGTAGCCGGCTAGAGGCCGCAGGCCCAGAAAATTATCTTGGTTGCTGTTGACCTCTGCAAAAAGTTTCAGTTGTGGGCTTAGTCTAAGATCCAACCCCGAATCAGCCAGAAATAGGAAATTTATGAAGCAGTCTTTAAGAAATTTCTGAAGCAAGAAATCGGACCCTTGAATCAGCCAGAAAATTTGCATCTGAGACCCTCAAACACTCCAAAATGCAAACAATACTTAGCTCTCAAAATCAAACCGTACTAATACCTAGACACACCAAGCTGCTGCGCCCCGAACTTCAAGCAACAATTGAATTAATTTATGCTAGGAAGGAACTGCAAAATCTATGTCTTCTGACAGCTGTTCTGGGGCTGGATCCCGGTTCAGCTAAGTTGGTGTTTTTTGTTGGGGGGGGAGCTTTAGGCGGAGGGGGGGGGGGTAGCATTGCATAACAAAAAAAATCCAATTGAGACTCTGGGTTGACACCACAATTTCTTTATCCCCCTCAGAAATATTCCAGAATCTAGATTCTGGTCTAACACGCTTTTTTTTGGTGAACATACCGATCGCCAGTATATGCTCATCCATGCTTTCCATGCAATCATGCGGCTGGTCAGAAGCCAAAACAGCGCACGGATAAATGGACTTATGTTGCAAGCAAAACGTCAAGTTGCGAGACGCAATACGCAACAATGCTTCACTAACTTGTGCCTCCTCGATGGCTTTGGACTGAGAAGCACACTCAGTGTTTATGTACTTGGCCATGGTTGATGTTCTAACGTGGGTGTCCTAAAAGAATTGCCCAGGTAAATTTCGCAGCTCAAATATGTTCTAACCCGGGTTCAGTTAGAACATGGATTCACCAAATGATGTTCTAACTTGCAGTCCGTCAATATATCTTCCATTTCTCCCCCTTCCTTTGCATTTCTGTTCAGTTGAATTCCGGGCTCTCCATTGCCTTTCTCTTGCTTTCTATTTTTCCATTCTCCCTTTCCATTCCATTCCTGCATTTTTCTCCAACCCTTTGCGTTTGCTTTCGGTTCATTTTTGCGTCCTTCCATTTCCCTCCGTTCTCTTGCCAGTTCCTTTCCGCGCCTGTGCTGTTTCCTTTACATGTCTTACTGTGTCCTGTTTTTTCGGTTCCATTCCCTTTCAATTTATCCTCCATCTTCTTGCGTTTCCTCTACAATTCTCTTCCCTTCCACTTCTTCCTGTTTTCCCTTCCAGCAAAATGCCTATCTGTGTCTTTCCTTGCCATTCCTTTCCCCCGCTTCGCCACATTCTGCGCAAGTTGCCCTGAAACAAAGGTTTGCGCTGAACGAGACTCTGAAACATAGAGGGCGCAAAAACACAACGAGACTACACACAAGAACCGCCACAAGACTCCACGGAGGAATCGGTCGGATCCCTGCCAAAACCCGCGCCCAAGGGAATTCTGCAACACGGCGCGAAAACAAACAAGAATAAACTACCTACAAAAAACACGTGCAAGTAACTGCCTACAAAGGAGTGCGCCTTGGCCCTTCAGACCACTTAGCGGTCAGGCTTCATGCAGGTCATCCTCAAAGCTGCGCCAAACGACATTCTACCATACAGCACGAAACGCACAAACCTAACTGACGAAACTACACGCAAGAACAACTATGGCCAGTGTAGTTGGGGCGCTCGGGGCCTGTGCACTGAACACACGCATACGCGGGTGCCTGCGCAAATCCTCCGCGACTCCAAGGGGCGCCTACGTGCGGACATTTGCGTTTTCCTTGCTGCGCGGGCGCCGACACGAGCCGCTTGCCCGCGCCCCCCGCTTTTGCAACCTCGAGCTTTGCCCCTGCCGAGTCATTCGTTGCCCAGCTGCGACACACGAATGACAGCTCTAGCTCCAAAATCGCAACCAGCTGCAGCCTAGAACGGGAAGGTTACGCAGAGCCTACCCAGATGGAGGCAGTTCTGTATTAGGCCAGGCTTTCCGGCTAACACGCAGCGATGCAAATCGTAGAGCTACCATGTAAACACTCTCCCCCGCGTGGCGCCAAACGCTGCGAAGCATGAGGCTTCAAAAATAAGTGTGTCATCCCAGGCTTGCCTACGGGGGGCGAACTTAGAAGAAAAAAACATGATGCGCATACGCAAGCCTACGCCCCCTACCTGATTTCCTGCGCGAACATGACGCCACTCCTGTTTTGTGTAACGCGGCGCGCGCAACTCAGCGCGAAGGGGTGTCACACCTGGCTCAGTTACGCTGCCCGCAACTTCCAGGGCGGCCTGCAAAAATCAACAGGAGCCGGCGGGACGACGCCAACGGCGGGAAAATAATAACGACAACTAGAACCACGGGTGGCCCGAAAGCATAATGGAACGTGACCAAAGACAAGCAAAGCGAGCCGACGTGCAGGGGTGCCAGTGGAGTGGTTGGTCAAGAGTTGGTGCTGCGTACGTGCGTGCGCGCGCGTGTGTGTGGGTGTGTGCGTGTGTGTCTGTGTGTGTGCGCGCGCTGTTTGCATGCAACACTCAGCTGCCGCATGTCGCAACTCTTGCCACGGCAAGTCAAAGCAAATAAAGCCGACATGTGTGTGTGTGTGACACTTGCGCGCGTGTGTGCTAGCGCGGATATCTGCAAAGTTTGCTCCTTTTGCGACTGATAAGCTTCGGTGTTGCGAGCTCTGCGCGCTTGCGCGCGTGCTAGCGCGGATATCTGCAAAGTTTGCCCTTCTGTGACTGATAAGCTTCGGTGTTGCGAGCTCTTCTGCGCAAGTGCTCGGCCCAAGCCTTCCGCGCAACTTTCTCTGCGTGCGCAAGTGCTCTGCGCGTCGCGACACGCAAGCGCTATGCGCAGGTGTGCTGCGCAAGCTCGGGTCAAGTTTCCATGAACAAGTTCTCCGAGCAAGTCCTCGAGCCGGAGCTGCCAACTAATTACTTTCGTGTCCAAATGTCTCGTGCAGGTTTGGCTGTGTGATATCTCGTGCAAGTTGGCTCGTGTAAGTTGGCTCATGCAAGTTGGCTCGTGCAAGTTGGCTCGTGCAAGTTGGCTCCTGCAAGTTGGCTCGTGTAAGTTGGCTCGTGTAAGTTGGCTGTGCAAGTTTGGCTGTGTGATAAGGCTGGCGATTTTACCGGAAGAACCCTTTGCAATGCTTTCGGAAAAACAAGCAGGAGGAAAAGAAGAAGTAAAAGGAAGAAAAGAAGACAAAACAGAAGAGCAGGCCTGGTCTGGCTGGCAACGTGAACGACTTTTTTGTTTCTGATAGAAAACGTTCGTCTGGTGGAAGCGCCTCAGTTCTGGCTGCGACTGCGCAGAGCTTCTGAGCACTGCGCGGGCAGTCACAGGCAGCTGGCATTGCTGACATTCAAGAATCCAGGCGCAGGGCGTGGCACTGCCGCATGTCTCCCCAATGAGCCCGCATCTTGGCCACCTTGGTCAATATGCGGGCAATTGAGACACAGGCCACAGCTTGCAGTTTACGGCGACCAAGCCACGAAGTGGTTCTGTGGAACGAAGGCGCACACGCCCGCCTTAGAGCGGCTCCGTTTTTTAGACATAACCAAATCCGTCGCAGGCCTTTCGCTGCTCGTGACGACATCTTGTATCTAACCCTTGCGTGGCCCATGTGGAACCGGCCGCTTCGGGCATCAAATTCGAGGACCAACTCAGGAAGCACCCCACTCAGACATCGGGCATGGAACCAGATTAAATAGTTGTGATTCTGACATGGGCGGAGGTTGAGAGCGCTGTCAGGTCTGTTGGGGTGACACCGAATGAGGCGGCCTCTTTCATAGACTCATGCTCCCTCAAGGCTTACACAATGCCGAGAAGAACCATTTGCAGCGCTGCGCCAACCAGAGGCATCTCGCCACGTGAAAACAGCGTCTGGGGATGATGCTGTAAAGCCGTCTGCAGTTATGGTGCCCACGCCGGGAATGGCCGCGGGGTCCTGACATGGTCGACTGGCAATCGCATTTCTTTCAACCCGCGCCGTTGTCGTGGCTAATTCTTTGTGCCACGATGGCGATGGAACAGGGGTATTGCTCAGAATGCCGAAGCTCCTGATACTAAATTGAGGATGATCTCGGCAAGCGTTGGCATGGTGGCACGCACACATGTGCGCGCAAAAAGCGTGGCTTCAAGGATTGTGGGCCATCCCTGGCAAAAGCATCCTAGAATGTGTGTGTGTGGTGCGTGCACGCTTGCGCGCGTTGCGTGTTTGTGTTTAGTGTTTGTTTTTCCGGCGCTGTTTTGATTGTGCGTTTGATTGTGCGCTTGCGCGCGTTTTGCGCCACTCGGCACGCCGGCCATTTTCTTGGAGGAATCTCCCCTGCTCCTGGAGGAAGTACTGGTTGGCAGTCGCGAACTCCGTCTTTTGCAAGTTCGTGTGCCTGAGAGGGGTCTGCCGTTAACACACGCAACTCGTCAAGGAACTCGAATCCTTTGCGCGAGTCAAATCGAGCATCTTGCGGGTCCCTCATATCGCCGGTGTGCCCGAAGAGGATGTGCCTGCAGCAGAACTGTGTGTCACGAATAAGTTACCGTGGCCAAATCTGGATACAGCAGTCCCGCCGCCCCCGCCCCCCAACAGGTACGAACAAAGCATGCTTGCCATACACAATTGAGAAGCGCTGTGCGCCAACGGGAGAACGGTCATGAGATCTCAAGCACAGCCCCTTCCCTGCCAAGCGTATCATGCAGTATTGAACAAGAGTAGAGAATAAGAGCAAGGCGAAGCCTAAGTTTCAACTCCTCCAAACTACACCAAACGGTCGATCCAACTTTCCCTCTTTCAGTTGAGCTGATTTCCTCCTGTTGCCAACCCTTGATCTGCGAATCCGGCATGCCTGTCAAGCCCGGAGGCTGGAACCTCCGCCTGGGCGAAAGGGTTACAAACAAAACAGCCGACTCATTTAATGTTTCTGGGGCTTCGTTGCACTTGCCGTTGAAGGTGTTCTCAAAACCACCAGGTACACAAAACACTTCTTGCAAAGGAGCAACCCTGCTGGTCGGCAACAGAAACAGAAAAACTCCTGCCGTTGATGGTTTTGAAAGCGTGCAGCACACGATGAGATTATGTCTGTGAACACATTCGAAGTTGTTAAGTCTTTTGGGTCTCCAAGTTGCGCTGCTTCCAACCGGCGGGCCAAGGTGCAACCATGTTAGTGTTAGAGATCATTTGACGAATGCCCTTCTGCATAAACACCCCCCTCGATATGCGGGACAGAGTGCGGGACAAAGTGCGGGACAAAGTGCCGGACAAAACAGCTGGACAAACAACTGTCCGGCAAGTTGTCCGGGGGGTTGTCCGGGGGGTTGTCCGGAGGGTTGTCCGGAGGGTTGTCCGGAGGGTTGTCCGCGCACTTTGCCGAGACTTGTGCTGCAAACCCCCCCTCCCGCGAGAATACTTCCATCCAGGTGGTTCCCGAGTGGTTTCCAAATGGTTTTGAGCGGTTTTCGAACGGTTTCCGAGCGGTTTCCGAGCGGTTTCCGAGCGGTTTCCGAGTGGTTTTGGCGTGTTCCAAACCTGTCCGAAGACTTGTCCGGGGGTTTGTCCCGGGTTTTTGGGCCCCGGCTAACTTTCTTGCTTTCTCAGCCGCGTCAAGCACTCCCTGCGCTTTGCCGGCTGCTGCGGCAATAATATCCTGCTGAGCTTGTAAATGCCTGTTTTGCCTTGTTTCCGACAGCTCGCGATTGCCCTTTTACGCTTGGCAGCAAACGACTCTCCGGCGGCTGCGCGGCAACTCTCGCGGAGGACAGGCAGGTCTCGCGGGGCACCTTGCGGCTTCACCCGCCGCTTCGCGCTCTTCCTGCGCTGAGCTATCCACGAGGCTTCGGAGACAGAGTTTCTCACCCGTTCCTGGGCTGGAACAGCGCAACAAGCAAGCTCCGAAAAGTAAACCGGAAGCCGTGCGCAAGCAAGTGTCCTTCTGGTTTGCTGCTATCCGGCGCCCGGAAAAAGTTAGGCTTTCGACGGGTCCCAGAGCTTCGTGGCAAACCCCGCCTCCCAAATCTTTTGAGCAAGTGTTGCAATTTTTTCTGAAGACTTGTCTCATCCCATTGGCGAAGCCGCTTCTCAAAAGCCTTGAGGGAAGGGAACTTGGCTCTGTCGCGCCCAGTGTGATACTGGAGAGCAGCAAAGTCCCGTTCATTCATGATGCCAACAAGGCCCGAGCAAGCGCTTTCTTCATGTCCGGGCAGTGGCAACTGTCACTGCAAACTGCAGGGCCCAGGCTGTTGGGCAGAGTTTTTGCTCATGGGAGAGGGACAGGCCAAGCGCTAGTAGCTGGGAACCGGGCAGCGGCGAAGGGCAGTAGGCTCCAAGTCTTGGAGCTGTTCATAGAGCCGGTGAGAATTCATGTCGCCGAACATTGTTGCGAGAGTCGCATCAGGCAGCGCTGCTTTTCCGCAGCGCTGTTTCGGGGGGGCCCGTAGCGAAAAGACTGACAAGTTGTGGATCAGTTCAAAACCCGGAAATTGTATCTGAACTGTTTTCGTCACCAGCGACCCGGGCTGCCATCCTTGCAAAGCAGCATCTGCTGTGAACGACTGGAGAAACACCGCCCCCACACTCCTCTGTGACTGTGGTTCTTTGGCATTCGCCAGATTTGGCAAAACATGTTGCTTGGCTGAAAATGGGCACGCTGCGCTCGTGATGTCGCAGGGTGTGGCCACGTGTTTCCCGTGCTCAGGTTCAGCACGCGAATGCGAACTTCGCCATTCGCCTATCTGCATATTGTCAAATGGCAGTGATGGCGAATGCGGCTGACGAGGAGATTCAGCTCTTGAGGTGCTTCGACAGAGATCGCATGGAGATGAGCGAGGCGGAGCGCAATGTCGCGGCCGTTACCCAGAAGCTGCGTGGAGAAAAAGCAGGCAAGCGATAACTCTGCTCAGCTGCCCTTCACTTCGCCAGTCCACGTCCCCCCGAGTGTCCCAAATTCTCGTCCGCAAGCGGTAGAGGCTTTGCATCATTTTCGCAAGGCCTCCACCTCAGGTTTCTCCACTTCCTCCTAATCTCCAAACAGCCGCTGCCCACGCTGCTTGTAGCGCATGCAGCTGTAGCTTGAGTTTCTCAAGTCGCCACCTCAGAATGCGATGAAGCAACTGCCAGTTCGACATGGGTTCCATGATGGGCAACGAGCGCTACCATATTATGGTCCGATGCGGTGTCTGAACCCAAAGTCATCTCGTGATCCCATGTTTCCTAAAGTCATTACGTGAACTGCAATTTACTGCCACACCGACACTGGCTTTGAAGGAAAGGGCGGCGAGGTGTCACCATTGGCCTGCAATTCTGCTAGCCGCAAAACACACCATCAAACAACGTGTGACTCTCACAAGCATTGCGCTGGGTGCCTTTTTCTTTTAATGGCTGCAAACTTGAATGTTAAGAGACATAGGTGCGGCAGAAGAAGACATGCAAATTGAATGGGCGCAGTTCATTGAAACTCTTTCTTAAGCCGCAGCGCGTCAACCTTGCTTTCCACCTGCTGCAATCGGATGATTCTCCAATAGGTCGTTCAGCGGCTCCTCGGTTGGAAGCGATGGTGGCCGGGGCCAGGCCTGCCTTTTGTCCACAGCGCCGCCGCAAAGTTTTCCTTACTTCTTGTCCATAGCATCGCTGCAAACTTTGCCTTACTTCTTGTCCGCAGCATCGCTGCAAATTTGCCTGGCAGCACCGCCGCAAATTGCACCTTACTTTCTGTTCACAGCATCGCCGCGAATTTGGCCTAACCTTTTGTTCACAACTGCCCGCCAACTTTACCCGATCTCGTGTCCACAGCATCGCCGCAGGTTTGGCCTTGCTTCTTGCCCACAGCATCGCCACACATTTTGACTGGCGTCTTGTCCATACCATCGCTGCGCATCTTGCCTTACTTCATGTCGACAGCACCGCTGCAAAGTTTGCCTGACTTCTTGTCCACAGCATTACCGCAAATGTTTGCCTTACTTTCCGTTATGCCGTTCACAGCGCCCCCGTAATTTTGCGTCACGCTTGTCGGCAGCGGTGCTGCAAATGTGGCCTTACTTCCTGTCCCCGGCGTCGCCGCACATTTGGCCGTACTTCTTGTCCACAGCATCGCCGCAATCTTTGCGTTCCTTGTCCACAGCGTCGCTGCAAATATTGTCGACAGCATCGCCGCAAACTTTGCCTTTCTGTTTGCCCGCAGCATCGCCGCACATTTGGCCTGAATTCAAATTCTTGTCCACAGCATCGCCGCGCATTTGGCCTTCCTTCTTGTCCCCAAGCGTCGCCGCAAATGTTTGCAGCACTTCTTGTCCCAACACTGCCGCACATTTGGTCTTACTTGTTTTCCACAGCATCGCCGCACTTCTGATCCACAGCATCTCCGCAAACTTTGCCTTGCTTTTTGCTCGCAGCCGCGCATTTGGCCCGAGTTCTTGTTTACAGCATCGCCGCTCATCTTGCCATACTTCTCATCACAGCACCGCAATTCCTTGTCCACAGCGTCGCCGCAAACTGTGCCCTACTTCTTGTCCACAGCATCGCCGCAAATTTTGCCTTCTTGTCCGCAGCCTCGCCGCGAATTTTGCGCTGACTTGTTGTTCACAGCATCGCCGCAATTTGGCCTTGCATCTTCTCCACAGCATCGCCGCAAATTTGCTTGACTTGTTGGTCGCAGCATTGCCGCACATGTGGCCATACTCCTTGTCCACAGCATCGTCGCACGTTTTGCCTGACTTCTCGTTTGCAGCATGCCGCATCAGCCTTACTGCTGTCCCACAGCATCGCCGCAGTTTTGGCCTCCTTCGTGCCCACAGCGTCGCCGCAAACTAGACCCTTCATCTTGCCCGCCGCAGTTTGTGTGTTACTTTGTGTCCACAGCGTGGCCGCGAGTTTTGCCTTACCCCGTGTCCACAGCGTGGCCGCAAATTTATCGCGCAATTGTTTCCTTACTTCTTGTCCCCAGCATCCCCGCGAATCTTGCCTTGCTACTTGCCCACAGCACCGCCGCAAACTTTGCCTTACTTGTTGTCCACGGCATCGCTGCACATGTTGCCTTACTTTTTGCCCACGCTCACACCGCCGATCTTCAGGCGCGTTTCTACTCACACACGGTCATCATCGCGCGCAGAGACACATGACACGCCTACGGGGAGGCGACGGGGAGGGGGGGATGGTTGTGCAACTTTTGTCAAAAGCTACGCAGAACAGGGGTGCATGGGCTGGCCACTATTGTAGCCATGTTGGCTCTCTGGCTTGTAGGCTCCGTTGTTTTGCTTTGCCTTTCCTTGGTACTGTCACTGTCATATTTGCGACTGCTTCGTCTGTCGCGCCGCCGCGACTGTGCGCTGAAGTTTCCGTATTTTGGCTTTTTGTGTTGATTGACCCCTGGTACATCGATGCTCTTCTTGATCTGATCTGGCGAGTGCCAGCTTGGACCTTGTTGGGCCTGTTTTGCTTGGAGACAGCTCTAGACCCCCGTCGTTTTTGCATTTCCTTTCATGAATTGGCCAGCGCTGCGAATTACTATTGCGAGCAGCAATGGCTGTCATCTCGCATAGGCAGTGGCGCTGCGCTTTGGCTTTGCGCGCTTCATCGTCTGGCGTGGCTGCACCGATGTCGCGTGGCCGCTCACGCTAGCGCGGGCGCCAGCAGGCGAGCTCCAGGCGCAGCAGCCGCTTCCGCAAAGGCCTCCTTCGCCCGCGAGCCCGGGCCCGTGCGTCCATGACGGTCCGTGGGCCCGTGCCGGGCTACGGCGACCATTGCTGAGCAGTCTGCAAAACGCATGGCGCGCCCTGCGTGTGTTGCTAGCTGAGGAAAGTGGATTGCCCCGGCGTGCATGAATGTCGGGGTGTTAGCGAGGGGGCCAAGCTGAAAGGTCGCGGCACTTTTTGAGTATATCGCGG